TGAGAGCATCTGACAAGTGGTTGACTGTCACTGTTTGTCACTGAACACCTCCAGCATGCCAGCTCTGTACAGGGTACATAGGGCAGGATCTAAAAGAAACACTGTATGAAATAGGGGTCTTGCCCTTAAGGGGTCCTTGGTGTCTTTGGGACACACCATTTAAACAATCGGGCCAGGCACTGTGGCGAATGCTGGTAATCCCAGACGCTCAGGAAGCTGAGGCAGAAAGATTGCAAATTCAAGGCCAACCTCAGCAACTTAACAAGACCCTGTCTCAAAATAAAAAAGGACTGGGGATGTGGCTCAGTGATTAAGTGTCCCTGGGTTCAATCCCTGGTACCCACCCCCTGGGTCGGGGAGACAGGGAAAAAGCAGAGCAAGGTTGAGTGGTTGTGGGCCACTAAGGTAATAAACATCTGGGGTGGAAGAGGAGACATAGGTGCCTTCCACTCTGGGGAACAGGCCAAGGAGCCAGAGAGTCCTAGGTACCCACAGCTCCCCAGCAGCAGAAGGAGGGTTGAGAGGAAGTGTCAGATGTCAGGAGCCAACTCAGATGCTGGTAAGTTGCAGCAGCGTCCGTCACCTTTCATATCGCCATTTGCAGAAAGAAAAGCAGGGGGAAGGCAATTCCTTTTCCTTCTTTCTCTCCCTGGGGCCCCAACTTCTAAGACCATTCCGATTCCTGCTGTCTGATATTTGGTCCTTAATGGGAGCCCCGAACACAGCCACCTCTTCTGACTTGGAAGGCAAGTTTCCGCCAAGCTGCACTGAAGCTTTGTTCCTCCAGGGTCCTCCTGGGACTGCCTGTGCCTTGCACACTTCCTGACGCGCAGAAGACTCATCAAAACTTAGGGAAGTTTTTCTTCCCACTCTCCCCACTCCCAGTATTCATTGAAAAGAATAGCACCATCTGAGTGGCCCTGCAGCCAGGTGAGAGGGTGGGGACAGCTGGAAGCCACTCCATGGACAAGCGTACCTCCTGTGTAGCCAGGATCCTGTGGGCCAGCAAGCAGATGTCCGATGGCTCGAGCAGCAATATCTCTAGTGTTGCCTTGTGTTTTTGTTTTTAGCCATTAGGAGAATATGTTTTATGCAGCCCGAGTAGAGGAAGAAAGTCTAAACAGACTCGTCCTGAGTACCTTTTTGAAAATGGAACATTTCTAAGGATATTTTAAATATGAGAGTCCATTATGGTGGTAACTTTCAGGGCCTCATCTTAACCAACACAAATACCCATTTTCTATCATAATTCTTAAGAAGTACAGTATTAAAGCATGGCCATCTCTCCAAAAATAACTTATGCAAACAACAGGGCGAGGGGGACAGTAAGCTGTGCCCTTCCATTCCATTCCACCTGCCTCCGTTCTCCCTGCGAGACAGAACATTTCTGGGAAAGCAGTCTGATCAAATTAGTTTTCAACTGCAGCCTCCGTGGTGAAACTACACCAAGTGTGCGGATCAGAATGGGGTCTGCTGTCTCAGCGCGGTCTTTGGTGGACTGAAAGAGTCAGATGTCTCTCCCAGCTTCGCTCTTCACCACAGCAGGTTCCAGTTGCTAAGGAAGGGGTCCTGGATGACAAGCTGTCCGACTGTCAAGTATCCCTCAGTTCCATGCAAACTAGAATCTTCTCAGCCTGCCCTAGCTACGGCAGGTCACAGAACAGTAGATCACACTTCCTAGTTTGAGTGAAATTGCTCTGACAGTGTCCATTTGCACTTCCCAGCTGGCCTGCAGTCTGGAGCCCCTTGCAGACCCACCAGTGGGTAGGCCAGAGAAACCTATGCTTTGCTGCCCCCTCTGTAGCAGACTTGCAGGTCAGGAAGGAGCAGAGAGAGAAGCAGCAGGATGTTCACCTCTGCACACTCAGATTTCAAAAGGCCTTCTGGCAAAACCTCCAGGGCTGTATAGCCAAGGGATAATGATTAGACAGACCTGCTGGGGCTTTGGGTGTTAAGCGATTTTGATGAAAACAAAAAGCATGGTGTAGGTGACTTGACTTTATTTCAAAGCATACCTTAGAGTCACCCCTCACTTGAGCTCTTTCCACTCTTGGAACTCTGCATGGCCTTGGGGACAACAACATCTATATTGCTGGACTTACATAAATGGAAGTCCCACTTTCTTCCTCCATCATTCATTCCTTCAGTGAGTTGCTTGTCTGTTTTGTGAGAGATTCAGAGGAAATGCCAAATCAAATACATTCCATTCCAACCCTCAGGGTTATGATTCTCCCATTACCATTCCCTTTGGCTTGGAGCAGAGACCCAAAGCCTGGTGGAAGGCCCACTGCCTCCACCACATAGGAAAAAAACTCTTGTCACCTCAAGCATCGTCTTTTTCTATAAATGTTACAGGAAATAAAAAAGAAGGCAAATCAGCAGGTTTTTTTTTTTTTTTTAAGTACCTTTGCCCAGTTTGAAGGCTCTTTGCCCAGTTTGAAGGCTTCTGTAATCTGATTGAGTAACCCAGGCTTTAAGAATTGGCCCTGATGTGTCATTTAGTGCCAGGTTGGACTTACGTGGCTTGGGGAGCAGCTTGGCCTAGAAGAGAAGAGCTGTCTTCGAGTGTCCCTGCCCCTTTCCAGTGGAAGAATGGGTGCCACTGTGTTGAAGTTACAGAAATCTATACAAAGGCCAATGTTACAACAGGCACTTTTTGCACATGGGGGAACTAACTGGATGAGCTAGCAAGCACTCATTTCTGCAGGGCCTTTAGCAAACTAGGGCCTGGGGTAGGAACTGGGATCATATTAACTGCGGCTGACTTCCAGTGCTATGCCTTGAGGACTCTCAAGAAACCCCGGGAGTTGTCCTGCAGATCTGCTTACACATGTGTACAAAGGTGTGTAGAGAACAGCATTCATCGCAGTGCTGTTCAGAATTGAGAGAAGTTTGGAAAATACCCACATATCTGTCAGGTCTTGATCAAAGACATTTTATAGCCATACACCAATGTTGTGGTTCGTCCATCCAAAAAAAATCTTTATGAACTGTGGAAGGAACTCCCAAGCTGTGTCACTAAGTGGAAGAGTGACATGCAGAGTGGTATGTGTGGGGTGTCTGTTGGGCCTGCCGTGTGGGCTGTGCCCTTCTGTCTGTCTATATTTGAGTAGAATAGATCTAGGAGGGTACGGGAGAAACTGGCTACTATGTGGACTGCCTCCAGAGAGAAGATGAAGCAGAGAGAGGAGGGAGACTTCCACAGATTTTCTTTTAGAAAATAAGGATAAATAAAAATATTTTTGAAAACTTAAAAATTCGGTTTTCCTGTGGGGGCAAGATGGTAGAATGAGGTGGATATTATTACGCCTGTGTATGGCTATGATTGCACAAATGGTACGACTCTGCATCATGTACAACCAGAGAAGTGAAAAGTCATGCTCCATTTGTGTAAAAAATAAATTAAATTTAATTAATTTTTTAAAAATTGATTTCCTGATCTAGAGCACCTGAGGACAACAGAGGGGAGTGGGACGCAAACTAACTTTTTGTTGAGCAACACTTGGGCTGTCTGGCCGCACACTTGACATACACAGTATCTTTCAACGCATGCCACACCATATGGGAGGCAGTGACAGTCCCTGTTTATACATTTAAATCTGAGACTTTGGGAGGGTGACGGCACTTGCCTGTCTGTCTGGGTTGCTCCCTTGTGCTGTAGCTCCTGAAATGGGCACGACAGAGGAAGTAATGCCTTGGGCTGGCCATGCTCTTCAAGGGGCAGTGCAGACCTTACCTGGGCCTCCCTGCACCCCCGCTTCTGATGTCTGCCTCTGAGCTGCTGGGCCAGGAAGGAGAGCCACACCTCCAGTTGGCTCTTGGAGTCAGATGTGTTTGCTTCCCTGGGCTTTTGCTGAGCTCCAGGGTGGGGATGGCAATCTGAGTTAACCAGCAGTCAGGTGACTGAGCCAGCGGTCATTTCTGTGGCTAGAGGAAAATACCTCCCGAGCTCCTGGCTGCAGGGGGAGAGGTGGTGCCTGCTGTCTGCTCTTCGGCTGGGTGTCAGATGTGCCTCCTCGTCTGCCAGCTGGAGGCTGGCTGGAGAGTTGTTGTTCTGATTGTCAGACCCAGGCTCCTTACTTGCACTTAAAGGAAAAAGCATCCAAGCCCTGGTACAAAAGGTCCTCTTGTCATTTCTTTGGAAAAAGCAGTGAATGAGCTCATTATCACTGCAGCCCAAATAGGAAGAGGAGGAGAAGAGAAGGTGGCTCCTCTCACTGTCTAGTCATGCGCCTGGCCAGGTTTCCTGGGATGGGAAGCTTGGATCTGACCCAGAGTGACCAAAGCCAGATGGCTGGGACAGGTGGTCCATATAGGGGGTGGTGCTTAGGAGACTTGGATGCGTTGAGAACCTTTCTCTGCTGTGGTCCAGAAGAAGAGCAAGTGTCTGTGTCCCTTCTCCCCTTGTTGCAGTTCTCTGTCCACGACTGCTAGCCTCCAGGCTGCCTGCCTGCCCTTGGCTTCCAAGAGGTCCCCATATGCAGGTGCTCTGCTGGTGTCATCTCTAGACGTGTGGTCCACACCTCAGAGCTGAAAGCCATGTAATATCAATGATATGTTGGGTGCTCGCGATTTGCCAGGCTCTCCTCTAGTCTTGGGGTGTAGCATAGAACAGAGCTGGCACTGTCAGTGAATTTAAATTCTAGCATGAGCAGTGAAATGTGCCAGGTCTGGCCTGCTATTGCACTTCTCCCCAGTCTGTTCCAAGGCATGTATGATCACAAATGCCCCTAAATGGAGGCTTGTTGGTGTTTCTAGCAGTGGAGACCAGATTGCTCTGAAGGGAGTGAAGTGGGGACAGTTCTCCACACCTTCTTGGTGGGCCAGAGAAGAGCTTTTCTAGATCCAAGCAGCAGAGAGTTCTGATACCTTGCAGGTTGGTACTGGAACTGGAAACATCTGAAAGAGCCCGGAGTGCAGCCTGAGTGACATTGACGGTGAGCTGGCCACAGTGAATCCAAGCCTGACTACCTCTCTTTGTTCCTCTTCCTCTGTTTCAGATTGAGAAAATCATGAGCTCTATTGGAGAAGGGATCGACTTTTCTCAGGAACAGCAGAAGATCTCAGGTACCGTATCCCACACTATTGTCCAGCAGGATTTGACTTCTGGCTCTTTGGGGCTCAGGTTTTCCCTCTGACATAGACAGGCATTTAGCGTGGGAGAGGGGCAGCTGCAGACTACATCATGCTCTTGCAGTTCAGAACCCCCGCCCCCCCCCCACACACACACACACATACACCCCGTGTCAGGACAGCCCATCATGTTTCCTACCATGGGAGATGTGGCTCCTCCAGCATATTGGGGAAAGTGTACATATTGAATTTTAGGCACCTATTAAGAAATATTTTGTGTGTGTGTGTGTGTGTGTATGTGTGTGTGGTACTGGGGATTGAACCCAGAGCCTTGTGCATTCGAGGCAAGCACTCTACCAACTGAGCTGTATCCCCAGCCAAGAAAAAAATTTTTAATAAACAATTATCACTCCTCCTTTTTCAAATGTGACTTTGTTGGATTCAGCTGGAGTGCGCCTCAGTGCTGGTCTTTCAGGCTCCCAAGGTGGCTGTGGTACAGCTCATGAGCGCAAGGCCCACGCTGGTGTCATTCAAGCCAGCGGCACAGCTCAGGGCCAGTCCAGTGTTTGTTTGTGTTTTTTTTTTTCCAACGTTGTCAGCATGTGTTGGACTATCTGGAGGTGACTTTGCTGTTTCTCCCTATGTCTGTTTCTATTTTCTGGTTTATTTAGTCTCTTACCAAGTGTACCCCAAGTCCCTACTATTTAGTCATTCTTTTCATATCCGAGGCATTGGGTTGAGGTCTGTCTCTGTTTCCCATATGAAATGGAACTGTGGAGCTGGGGAGCTGAATTCCCTTGATGACAGGGTCATGCCATGTCTCTTTCCCAGGGAGGAGATGTTCTTAAAGTGCTTCTCAGAGCAGCTCTCAGCCCCTCCCCCAGCATCCGCACAGATGTCCTGGCACCAGGGCTCTTGGGCTAAATGCAGCCTGGGAGGAGCCTGGTTTCTCCCCTGACTGGTGAACAGGCCTCTGCACTGGATGTGGGGACTTCTTGCTCACTTCGGGGCTTCTTCCAGGATTAACCTGGCAGCATTGAGCGGGACTGCCTATTCCTCCGTGGACCTCTGTGGCCCTGGGTGGGTTGGGGGGGATGACACACGATACATGTGAACATCAGGGACCAAGAAGCTGCTGGGGTTGTGGGCTTGAGGGGAGAGCCTGGGCTCTGGAGCCCCACGTCCCTGGGTTCACATCCTGCCTCTAGATACATAAGCCTCTTGGCAAGTCACCTAATCTCACGAGCTATGTCTCCCCACCTACAACTGATTTGTTATTTTTGTTATTTTTTATATTTTGCAGTACTGGGGATTTAACTCAGGGATACTCTCCACAGAACGACACCACCAGTAATTTTTGTTTTTTATTTTGAGACAGTGTTTTTGCTAAGTTGCCCAAGCTGACCTTGAACTTGCAATCCTCCTACCTCAGATTCCTGAGTCTCTGGGCTTATAGGTCCATAGCACCACACCCAGCTTACAGCCTCATAGATTTGTGGTAGTTGTAAGATATACAACTACTTGAGCAAAAGAGGTAGTCAGTAAATAGTAATTATGCCCATTTTCCCCCCATGAAATCGCTACTTATTCACATTGAGAAACCTAGAGAACAGGGCATCTACTCTTCTGGCTTGGCTCCCTCCCCTGTTTTTCAGTCTTGGTCCTGGAGCTATCCCCCCTCCAGCTGCCTTGTTTCCCTGGGCTCAGACAGGGCTGGCCGGGGTTTGGCCCATCTTTGTCAGTCTTACGCTGGAGTCCACAGAGGTGACTCTTCTGGCTAAGAGCTTGTGGGTTCATTTCCAGGCAATTGCTTATACTCCGTCAAGTGATGTCACTCTGCTGTAGTGTGCAGGCTTTTCCAAGGGTCAAGTGTTTGATGTGAATAAATGTTCAGGATTGAGACAAACACCGAAGCCACTTTCAAAGCTGTGCTTTGGAGATAGTCAGGGATGGATTCAAGAGCATCCAGTTCAGTTGAGACTACCTTCTGCTCTCCCATACTCCTTTGTGTCCAAGGAACACAGCTGAAATCACCTCATGTGCTTGAGAGCTTTCAGTCAGGAGCTAGGGCAGCACAAAGGCCTTGTCCTCAGAAGGGCTAGCATTGAGCTCCTCCTTACCATCCGGCCCCACCCACCAGTTCTTGCCTTCATGAGCATGAATGGTGAGAGGCATTCTGTCTGTACCACAGGGTGTCTAGACCCCAACACAGTCTTGTTTCAGTGTTCATTGTGGAGTCCTGAGCCATCCTCCAAACCCCAGCCTAGGGAATTCAAGAGCGGGCATATGCAGGTGACCATCTGAACAGAGGGCTCATCCAGCCATGCTACAGAACCCTAGACCACAGCATCTGCACTGCTGCCAGGCCAAGAAACAGAGAGGCTGGCCAGTCTGCCTGTGAACTCCCAGTGATAGATCGGGGGAACTGTCCCCCGAAGCCTTAGAGAGCACTGTCCTTCAGCTCAGACCAAAGCATAATTACTGTTTATTTTGAATGGACAGTTGTCCTTGGGTTTCAGATTGAGAGAAACCGAGGCTCTGGGCCTGGAAGCCTGGGAGGGACACTCCAGTAGGCACTCCTAGACCAAGCATGAACTGCTCAGGGCAGCCAGCTTTGCAGAGGGTCCTCCCGGAAGGGTGAGACCATAGCATTGGAGTCACAGTCCTGTTTGGGGGTCCAGGGAGCCCTGGGTTACCAGCACTGAGCTAGTTACCCAAATCCCCAACAATCTTGTTTTACAACTAATCCCTCTGCCAACTCCCAGGAGTCCAGGAGGGTAAACCTTGGCTACACTGGCTTCTCTGACCAGAGATCTGCTCTGTCAAGCGAGAAGAGAACTGCTCAGCTCTCTTGTGTGAAAGCCAGCCCCTTTCACTGTTGAGTAGCTCTTAAGTGCAGGATCCTTCTGGGGCCTGATCTCCCTGGACACAAAGTCCTTTCTTCACCAGTGCCTACCTACAGCCTGTTGGGATACAGGTACCTGCTCCCAACATATTTAGGGGGGTGATGTGTTGCCCTGCACACATGACCTTCTTTGTCCCTCCCCAGCAGTACTCGGGTTTGCCTGCTCCCCACTTGGCCTTGGCCATTCCCGTTTCTTGCTCTCTTCCTCCAGACTGCATGAGTGGCTCTGGGTGTGGTACCTCTCTCCTGGACTCTAACGGGCCTCGGGAAAAGTCTGTCCCCACGTTGTTTGGCATGCTCACCTGAGGAACATCAGGGGCAGTGGCCTTGTTTCATTGCCCATTTTTGTGATGAGAAGCACAGTCCTTTCTGAAGTGGCAAGTGGGCGACGGGGGTCACTTACCTATAGACTATGCCTTTGGGCCACTGTCATTCCTCTGTCCCTTCTCTTGGCTGTCTTATGGACTATCTGCCAAAGCTACACGAATGATCCCTCTCTCTTCTCCCTAATACGCAGTTGCAGCCCCTTGAGCTGGAGGTGAAGTTGTGCCCTCTCCCCCTTAGGTTTGCATTGGCACCACCAGCATCGGCTGTCATCTCGCTCTGATGCTGGTGGTGCTGCTGTCTCCTTCTCCCTCGGCAGCAGCAGCAGCAGCAGCTTCTGCTCTGATGTCCGATCCCTGATGTATTTTCCTGAGCGTGGAAGGGGGGAGGGCAGGGAGGGGAGAAAGGGGAGGGCCAGACATTATGAGAGTGAGCGAGGACTGTGGAGCCGGCAGCAGGCAGCGTGGAGCCCAGGAGCCTCTAGACAAAGCATTCTGCTGCGGCTCTGTGAGCGCACATCCACCGGCGGCAGCAGGACCACAGCTGCCCTGCCTGGCGAGGGGATTACAAGCCAGAATGAATCAGCAGCCGGGGCCACCGGACTTCATGGGCATTCAAGAGCCTGCCGCTTAGGTTCCTGGAGCAGATCTCCCCACTCAAGGGCAGGGGAGCTCCAGGAGCCCCCAGACTCGGCATTTTGGAGTGCTTGCTGCAGCCTGCGTCCAGGGCCGCCCAGGTCCCTGCCCACCATCCGTTCTGCAGAGGACAGGAGAGCGGGTGGAGGCTGCCACAGTTGGTCATCAGGGTCTTTTAGATAACCAAGCAAGTTGTCATTGTCCTGCCCTGAAGGGCAGAGTGAGCCTGGGATCGACAGAATGACTTTCACCGTGTCAAGAGTTCACTGGAGGTGATGTTTTTGTAGTTGGCTCTTCTTTTTCCTTCCTGTGCCTCTTTTTCTCTCTCCATTCCTTTTTTTTTCCTTTTACTTGTTCTTGCCCGTGAGAACCAGAGAAGTAGGTGGGGGTTAAGGCGTTCAGCTCTGAACAGCCGACGGCTTCCGGGAAGGGCTGAACTTTTGTCCTCCCTGCACAGTCCCCGTCCTAACCAAGGGGCTTAGCAAATAAATGCCCTCCCTTCCCTGCTCGTCCATAGAGGAGACCATCAAGATCTGGAGACCCTGGGAAGACAGTTGTGTCTTTATCACTCAGCCAAAGAGAGAGCGGCGCAGAACGTGAATAGACTTAAGCCGCCACAGCTCAGCTGACCGAAGACCACTTCCTTTTTCTCTCTCTTTTATCTGGTTGGGTTTTGTCTTCTTTAGCCAAGAACTGAATCTGCCTGCCTGCTTTCCACCTGAGCAGGCAGGCAAGTCACAGGAACGGCCACTATCAGAAGAGGAAAATGAATGCCCAGCCCCTGACAGCCAGCCCAGCCCAGGAAGGCAGCTCTTCAGACAGCGTCCTGGCCCGGGAGACGCCCCACTCACTGGCCACTAGAGTCTAGTGGATGGGCCCTGGCCCCGCTGGCCGTGCAGCCCGGCGGAATGCGATGCTGCTGTCCCAGCAGAGCCACACCTGAGCCTGACCCCCGCGCCCTGACCCATGCGCCCCACTCAGCCCCTTGCTGCCTTGAGCCTCTGAGCACAAAGGGCCAGGGGTCATGGTTTGCTTATTCCGGGACTGCTGGGGGAAAACAAGTAAAAGTCTCTCTTCTCCCCCTGCCGTGTTCTGTGCTGCTTGTGTTGCATGTGCTGGGTCCCTGTGAACAGCCACCACTGCTTCCTTCCCGGAGCCCTCGCTGTGTGCCTGTGTCCCTCAGCTGCATGAAGATGTGTGCTCTCTCCTGACCGGTTTATGCTGCAAGGTCACAGAACTGGCCCCTCGCCGCAGCCCACAGGGGCTCCAGAAGTTGCATGGATGAAAGGAGCGGCAGGGCTTGCGGGCTCTTAGGAGCTCCCCTGGCCCCCTCTAGTGCCTGTGGGGACAGACTCTCTGTACTGCCTCAGTGTGGACGCTGATGAGGAGTTGACCTGGAGACTGTTGGGGGTTGGCTCCCCCACCTGGGGCGAGGTCGTGCATGTGCCGCTGCGGCCCTGGAGCAGTTGAGACCCAGGGGGTGTAAGTGGGCAGCAGACGCCCAGGTTGGGTAGTTGTGGGCAGCAGCGGGCCACCTGTCCTTGGCCTGTCCACGGAAGAGGAGCTGCGTGCCCGCTGCTCTGGTCTCTTGTACATAGTTTGGCTGCTTTATGGTAATGACTATGATGTGGCAGTGCCATCTGTCTTCCTCTGAGTGCCGCTGCTACCGCCTTAACGGTATTTCCCTTTTCAAGCGTCTGCCGATTCCTCTCTCGTCAGGTTCACGGACGCTGGAGCAGAGCGTCGGGGAGTGGCTGGAGTCGCTTGGGCTGCAACAGTATGAGAGCAAGTTGCTTCTGAATGGCTTTGACGATGTCCGCTTCCTGGTAAGTGCCTGTGGGCCACCTCAGCACCAGCCAGTGCTGCTCTGTGGATGCGCCGGAGTTTAAACAGTACGTAGCCCTGGATCTAGGAAGAGTGAACAGTGACGTAGACCACACCATGTCAGCTGGCTGCTGGGTGCTGCCTGTGCAGACACTGCCCCCTCCGCCGCTGCCCCAGATGTGCTCCAAGGGGAGAGCTCTTTCAGTAGGGTCCCTGACTCAGAGCCTTGGAGCCATTAGCCATCAGGGATCCTTGTTGGAGATGACAGCCAGGTATCCTGTGGTGACTTCACATCCCATCTGAGCTGGAGACCAGGCATATCCTTTATTTCCCAAAACTTTGCTGTCAAGTGAGTTGCCACTGAAGCAAAGGCTCCTTCTTGGCATGGCCTTCTGTTCCTGGCCTCACACCTGGCCTGCGGAGATGCTGAGTTGATGTTTTGGAGGGCTGGCTGCTTTTCTGAGGTGTAATTCTCACTGTCTTATAGACCTCAGGGGGTCAAAAAGAAAAACCATGGTGTGTCTATGCTAGCTCCCTGTGGAGTAGGGAACCAGCCAGGACGCCCGTTAGGGTCCAGTGTTCCCTCTCTCAGTGGAGGGGGTGGCTCAGAGCAGGGAGCATCATGTCCCTCTGCATCCTTTGGGTTGGTCAGGGACAGCACATCCTGGGCCGTGGGCTGAGCCAAGGGTTCCGACTTACCTCAGAGCCAGCACCAGCACCCCCAGGGCTGCATGTGGGGTCACAGCAGTGCCCACCCACAATTGCTGATGCTGTCATCGGGGCTCAGGGGGTGCTGGTGCCATTCTCAGTGGTTCATTTTACTGCTTAGTGCTCCCTGGAAGCCCTGAGGTATGTACTGTTCTCGGCTCCGTTCTCCATGTGAGGGGAACATGGTAGAGAGGTGAAGTGGCTTGCTCAGGGTCACACTGTCAGTACTGGTAGGGTAGAAACATGCACCAGGCATTCTGGGCCCAGGGCACTTGCTTAACCACTGTGTCACACGCCTCTTTCTTGGGTGTGGGTGTGACCACTTATGTGCCAGTGTCACCTTCTTGCACATGTTATCTTGGAGGCTCGGTTCAAGGTGAACACAGCAAGCCCTGTACTGCCCCCCACTTTTCCTTGCTTTCTGGGAGGCCTGGCTCCCGAGTCTGTCCTCGAGAATGTAGGCCTGGGTCGGAGTTGAGCCACCTGCCCCTCTGAAGCAGGTCTCTCTAGCCTGGGCCTCCTGCTTGGCCTCCAGGGATGAGGGGCAGTGGCAGAAGTCAGCACAGGGCCCCTCACTGCCCTTTGCTCTCCAGTGAAATCACTTTGGGTTTCTCACAGGTTTGTTGTGGTGCCTGCCATACCAGGGAGTTGCCACACCAGGGAGTTGGCCTGCTACTTGCGAAGGGAACCTGACTAGGACAGCTCTGCTTACCCAGAGCCATCTCCATCTCTAAGACAGACAATGAAGCCCATCACAAACCACTGTTCCAAAGCCTGCTTGTGCCAGGGCACACTCCTGTAATCCCAGCGATTTGGGAGGCTAAGGCAGAAGGGTCACAAGTTCAAGGCCAGCCTCAAGACCCTAAGCAACTTTTAAAAATTAAAAAGGGCTAGGGATGTAATTCCATGTAACCCCCGTTCACTCCCCAGTACCGCAACCAAAACAAAACCAGCTTGGGCCAGTTATTTCTCAACTTTTAAAAATCCTGAACTTGAAATAGCAATTTATTTTTCTTTCTTTTTAAAAGTTAAACCGAGTGTTATTTCTGGTTCTTGTGACATAATCTCTGATTTGCCACATTCCTTGGGGGAAGGACAACAAACTGGGACAGAAGTGGGGCTCAGCCAGTGAGCGGGATAGTGGCCCAGCTCTGAGTGTTTAGGGGCTTTCCTCTCTGAGACATCTCTTCATTAGACTGCCCGTCAGATGTGCAGGTGAGGATGGTCCCCTGTAGCTCAGTGTCATAGAGGAGCTCTTTTTGTAGAAAGGATAAAGTTCCCAGCTCTTGAATAGCCCCAAGACTCCTTGAACCAGAGCAACTACGTGGGCATTTGGAAAAGTGGGGCCCTGGGCCAGATTTCCACACAGAGTGCAGAGCCTCTGCTCAAGGACCCCACATGGGGGCCAGCAGCTCAGTTGCTCCAGGGCCCTGCTAGGAACTTTCCATCTGGTGGCAGCAGCAGGTGGGGTCTGTACACAGAGGCCAGCTGAGTGCCTCTGGGCTGGGCGTGTGACTTCAGATACCTTGAGTGGCCTGAGTAGTCGTGCAGAGCATCCTGGGTAACTGATGTCAGCTGCCAGCTGAGTCCTGAGGCTGATTAAGTTTTAGCAACCAGGAAAAATGGAGATTGGCACAGGAAGGGGAGCGTTTTTGTTACTGAAACTTTCCCTCATGTGTGTGGTGTGACGTTAATCATGGTGGCTGTGGAGTGTCCCCTGTGGCTTGCTTTTCAGTTAGCTACACATTTCCCTGGGTTCTGAAATGCCCTGGAGATGCTTTTCCCAGATGCAGAGTAGCTCCAGGAAGCCAGGCTGCTAGATTCCCAGGAGTATTCGGGACATCAGGAAATGGGATGTTTCACAGATGAGGAGGTACTATGGAATTTCCCTGTGACAAGAGAATGTCACACACCTGAGACACAGCTCCCTCTCAGGTGAAGGGACTTTAGTGTCATGTTGTCTGGTCATCTTCTCCATGCCTGAATTTCTTCTGGATAACCTCTGCTATGCTGTTTTTCTAGTGACTGAGGATTCACTTCATTACAAAATAGTAGCCCATTCCTTCCTTCCCTGGCTCTGGCTGCTTTAGAGTCATCTTTATGTGGAGTCAGGATCTGTTTCCTTACGGCTTCTGTCCCTTGGCCTGAGGTTTACCACTCAGGGCCACACAGCATGTGTTTACGAAAAGTGGAAACCTTGATTGTGGCCCCAGTCGTGTCTTGTCCAACTCCCACTTACTCTGGGCTGTCCCCACTGTGATGGATGGTTGAGCCCGGCAAGCAGGCCTAGCAGCTTGAACTGCGGCCATGCCGTCTTACCTGCAGGTGGGAAGGGCCTTTTGGAGAGGTCAGGGCCAGGGCAATGCTGATGGGATGGACCCCAGAGCCAGGGAGACAGGTGTGGGAATGTGGCTCCCATGTCTGCCAGTCTGCCCCCAGCACTGCTTGTGCACCATGGCCATCTCCACTTTCCCCACAGAGCTTGTCCACAGCAATGGCTGTGCTAGGAGAAGGGAGGAACGTATCCAGGAAGGGAGGGAACCTATGGTTGTCAGATGTCTGGATCCAAGAATGCGAGAGCTGCCCACCACCTCTGAAGACAGCCCAGCCGCCCTTCACAGAAGGGTCAGTGCGTGAACAACAGTGGTCCTGAGGCTGGAGTGTTTTTAAAGTAGACCTGATGTGGAGATTGTTCACCTTGGAGTGTTGAATGCAGAAATTGAGACACAAAAGTTCCTGCAATATGATCTTAATATGTCACAAAGAAAACATCCATCATGGGAGGTGTAAGGGAGAAAGCCAGAACGTCTTCAGTGGTGATCTCAGGAGTGCCTTCATTTTTCTTTTTGGAATGTAGTAGATTCTCTCCATTTCCTACTATGAATGGATGTAGAATCAAAGCAGCAGGTGCTGTAGGTATCTTAATACACATTATGGTCCAGCTGGGAAACCAGCACATCAAACAATGAAGACAATAGAGTAGCCAACTCTCCAGTGTGGTGGAGGCCCAAGTGCTGCAGGAGGGCGAGGGGAGCCCACGCCTCCCAGGCCTCACCCTGTACAGGGTGGTGGAGGCACGGGGTGGACAGAGGTCCTCCCCAGTGTCAGGACCAAGACTGTCTATCCTTGAACCTGGAACTTAAGGAGGAGTCTAGAGAGAAGAAAGGCAGCTGGGAGGGGCCAGGGCCTGCCTGTGTGGGTGTGGAGGGCACAGCCCCAGCCGCACAGGAGAGGTGTGCTAAGCCTGATCTCAGGGCCTTGAGAACCAGAGGGCTGAGGGTCCCTAGGTCTCCGAGGCCTGAGTGTGTGGAGGGGTCTCCACCTTACCAGATACGGTGCACCTTGGACCTCCAGGAGTGGTTGACTAAGGGGTGGTCAATGGAGAGCCCTGTGGGGGGAGCAGTTGTAGCGGGGGGTGAGTGTGTGAGAAAGGAGACGAGCCTGCAGCAGGTCCAGGACAGGTTAGGAAGGAGCAGTGGGCAAGCTCTTGCTTCTCAGGCCACAGAGACCTTCCGCTCCTCCCCTCCATTTCTTCCTCCTTGGGCTTCAGACACGTGGCAGTAGGCTCCTACCACGTTTCTGTCTACTTCTGAGACTTGAAGACGGGTGATCCCTTATGGGGCCAAAAGGTATAAGCTGGGCCATGAGGGTCTTCTCTTTATTAGCATCTGTGAAACTTTCCCACCAGGCCCCCAAGCCCCTGAGGTGCCCTTCTTGCCCCTGACCCCCAAGCTCCCTCCTCTTGAGCCCTCTGAGCCGCTTCAGCTGAGCCATGGTGCGGGTGCCTGTCATTTCCTACCCTGGTCCCTGTGCTCTCTTCACCCCTCCTCCCATGCGCCTCCTTTGCTGTCTTCTGTCCCAGGCCCAAGGGGCCACTGCTGTGTGGAGAGGAGCCCTGCCTGGGCTTGCTCCTGGCCGGCCTTTGCCCAGCTCTCCATTGCCCGTTAGGACTCCCTCTGCCCAGTTGAAGTAGGGCTGATGCAGAGGCCAGCGGAGCAAAGGCCTAGAAGGTACTCAGACAAGTGTGGGTCCTGCCTCCTGAATTCTGTGGTCAGTAAGACCTGAACTCCTCAGCTGTCCCAGGAGTCAGTGCCACCCAGGGGTCTCCCAGTCTCTGTGGCCCTCCCCACAAGCATGGGAACCAGGTGAGGGCAGCACTCTTACCTGCGGACTATGGGCAGCTCACTTTGAGCTAGTAATTGCCACCTCTGGCCCTCCCTCTGTCTGCCTGGCTGTGCAGAGTTATTCAGGGTGACCACAGCTCGATTATGCAGGAGACAGCTCTGATGGCCCC